CATTTCTTCCTTAACAATATCTAATTTTCCTACATTCATGGTTCTCACATTCCATGTCCCAATCACCAGTGTCTGCTTACAACTGTTCCTCTTCATTTGTATTTCCATACTTGAAAACTCAACCTCCTTTGCCATTTCTGTTAGCTAAATTATTACAATATATAATTAACTCTTTGTTGTGTGCTGCCATTCTTTTTACCCAATTAAAAGAAAATTATAGCCCAATATCCCTCATGAACATGTTATTTTTGTTATTATATGCCAACAAGTTGAGTACAGCTCGTAAACCCTATTCTATCCTGTGCCATACTCACACTTCCTTACACACAAGAGCCCATTGGGGTAGTCACCTTGTTAATCCATCTGGTTAAGGATTTCCCTCATGTCCCTCTCCAAGGAATAGCCCCTCCTATCAACATACCCAAAGTATGTGAGACAAAGCCTCATCCTTCTTGACTCGAAAGAGCACTCCAGCTGTATCCTCTCCAAGACATATCTGTTTGTTCTTTTGGCCATCCATGGGATGTTTAGTGCTCTTCTTCAACACTACAGCTCAAAGGTATCAACTCTTCTTCAGTTGTATTTATTCATTGTCCGGCTTTCAGATGCATAGTAGGTGATCAGAAAGACTATGGCCTGAATCAGATGCACCTTAGTCCTCAAACTAACATCATTACTTCTCAATAATTTGGAAAGGTCCCTAACTGCAGATTTTCCCAGTGTAATGCATCTCCTCGTGAATATAGACACAAAAATTACCAACAAAACTTTCACTAATAGAACCCAATATCATATCTAAACAATCATCTATCATGGTTGGAATTCACATCAAGCATGCAAGGATAGTTCAACACTAGAAAAACAATCTGTGTAATCCAATACACTTCCATAACTACCCTTGTTTCTCTAGTCTTCATAGGGTTTTCAAAGACCTGTTACTTAAGAAGTTGATGCCAATCCTGATTCCTAGTCTGACTTAATCTGAGAGCTCTATCAAACCCTATTCAATATGGGTAGCCCTTATGGCATTTGACACACTAGTGGCAAAGCTGTCTTGGCCTCCAAGCCATATGTAAAGGCCTCAGAGCTTCCACTGGCCTCCTGCGCAACTCCAAGTTATCAGCAAACTGACAGACCAGTGCTGTACCACTTAGAACAATGTTCTCTCCGAACACAATTAACTCCTGAGGGCCCAACCTACTTTTAAATACAAAGGCCTGGCCATCAGATCCTATTTGATATAAATAAGAGGCTTCCAGCTCACAACTGATTGTTAACTAAATCCACATAAGCAATCAGCTTACACTTAATTGATCAGTTTATACTTTATGCATATTGCTAGGAGGTGTTATTTCCTTGAGAAGGATATGATTCTGGGAAGGGTGGAGGATTGGCGAAGGAGAGGAAGAACCTTGGCCAGGTGGATTGACCAGGTGAGACTGCCTCAATGAGCTCAATGAGCTTTTGTGTGTCAGGAAGTGTGAGGATGGGACAGGGTAGCACAAGGTTCAGGTCCTTTATTCATAGGATCACTATAAGTGGTACTCAACTTGATGGCATCTAACAACAACAACAGTAATAATAATAATAATAATCCACCACATTAATAGAACAAAGGAAAAGAACCACATGATCATCTCAATTGATATAGAAGAAGCATTTAACAAAATTTAACACTCTTTACTAATAAAAATGTTCAATAAAAAAAGGAATCGAACAAGATCTTTCCCCTTTCTTTTACCAGTCCCTCCCTCTACCCATCAAATTGTACAACCCTATATTTAAGGTCCCTTGCCCTGCTGCCGTGGATCCTTATACATGCTCTACAATAATAGTCCTATATAATATTGCTTTTATGAGACTGAGTTAGTTCACCCAGCATAATGCTCTCCAGTCCCTCCCACATCAGGTAGTAATTTACAAAATCATTGCTTCTGCATCCTGCATAGTATTACATTGTATGAATGTACCATAATTTCTCAATCCATTCCATTGTGGTTGGGCATTTGGGTGAACCAGCATAAAATAATTTTTTTAAAAAGATCAACTTGGGGAGAGGGAAAGGAGAGAGAAGGGGTAAAATATACAACATTCAATGAATGAAAATATCACTTTTATGTATTCTGTTAAAATCATAATTAAAATAAAAAATGTTATTTTTTTAAAAAAAGGAATCATGGGGGAGTTTCTCAATATAATTAGAAGCATATTTCAAATGTAACCAATCTCTTTGTAAGCTATCACTGAAATTAAAAAACCCAATAAAAAAGTAAAAGAAAACACACACAAAGATGATAAAAGTAACTTCAAACATATCAGTAAGAAGAATAATGAAAAAGAACATATTTAAGTCAACAGTATTCTCAAAGAGAGAGGTTGAAGGCATTCCCTTGGTGAATAAGAACCACCCAAAGTTCCTTTTATCACTGTATTATTATTACTAGGTTGTTAGGTACTCCAGAGTTGACTATGCCTCAAAGCTACCCTGTGAGCAACAATCTGAACCTTGCCCTCTCCTGTGCCTTCCTCACCATGTCTGATATACTCGAGCCCATTGTTACAGTCACTGTGTCAACCTGTTATTGAAGGTGCTGTTTTAATGAACTTGTGTGTTGGTACACTTTTGTGTTGACAAGGAAGATGAAAGTAGTCTTCACTTTGTGGCTTTCCCCAACCTATTTTCTGCTCATGCTCTGAGCTGATTTGTGTCTTCATTTCCTCAAAACACTCTTTAAAAGAGACCGTTATGTTTGGAAGTTCTAGATTGTCTCTTCTGTACGTCTGCATTGGCATATGAGTTTAAAAGTTGATTGATCATGGAAGATTGATGTTTGTGGCTCTTCTTCCTACTTTAGATGATAGAGGATAAATGTTCTTGCTCTGTGCCCAAGGCAAAATTTCTCATTGATTCACTTGTGAAGAACAAAGATGCACTAAGTTTATCAAGTTTCTATGTAAGTTAACAACAAATTATTTTATTTTAAAAAGCTCAATTTTTCCTTTTAAGTATTCTAGGTGGCAAATATTATAACAAAAATATTTCTAGCTAGATGTAACCATACAGCATTTCTCCAAAAAGTTATTTAGCAAGACTGGCTTGTTTTTATTTTAATTCTTTTGCACACAATATTTAAATATTTAGATATTTTTTAATTTAAAAATTATTTTTGCCTTAACTTCTGCATAAAACAGCTTAGAGTTCATGGAGACCAGCCCCCTAGGTTAGTATGAGCTGATTACAGAATTACTCAGTTACTTTGTAGATTTACTGTGACTCATTTTATTGAGTAAGTATAGAGAAATGTAATGTGCATTTTGTGATATACTCCTTTTATTTTACATCTTAAGGAAGGTTTACAAAGAGATTCGTTTCACTCATTCAGTCAGTCATGTGCATTTTCCTACCCACCCCCTCCAATTCCATTAATAATGCTGTCCTGTACCAGGATATTATTAACTGTCATGCACATAGTTTCTAATTGTTTATTCCTTCCACATTGTCCTTGCTTTCATCAATTCTAGTGCAGTGTTCATTTTCTATCCACTCATGTCCCACTCTTCCCCCACTATAATATACTTTAAAGATCTTAAATAATCTTTTTTCCAGATTTTTGGAAAAATCCTGTAAGTGCACATAAATAATATTGTATTGCAAAACAACGAGAAGATGTCATCTCACACCAGTCAGAATAGCAAAATTTAACCGAACAGCAAGCAACAAATGCTGGTGAGGTTGTGGAGAAACTGGAATCCTTATTCACTGTTGGTGGAAGTGTAAAATGGTGCAACCACTGTGAAAGGCAATGTGGCTCTTTCTCAAAAAGTTGCAAATAGAGATACCATTTGACCCAGCAATTCCACTACTGGGAATATACCCCAAAGAGACCATAACTGACATCCAGCAGATATATCCACACCCATGTTTATCTCAGCTTTGTTCACAATAGCAAGGAGTTGGAAACAACCTAAGTGCCCATCAACAAATGAATGGATAGAGAAGCTGTGGTATATTCACACAATAGAATACTATACTGCATTGAAAAACAAGGAACTCATGCAATATTATTCAAAATGGGTGACCCT